AAAAAAAAAAAAAAAAAAAAAAAGCCCCCCTTCTCAAGATGGGCAGCATGACCCCCAAGCCTCTGGGGTCTGCCCACCTGCCCCTGGCTCTGCCCCCCAGGGTACAAGTTCTCCCAGGCGAGTGTGGCGACTCCAGAGCAGAAGGGCCTGACATATCACCGCATTGTGGAGGCTTTCCGCTTCGCCTATGCCAAGAGGACCCTCCTTGGGGACCCCAAGTTCATCAATGTGACCAAGGTAAGGGGCAGGCGCTGACCTGCTGGGAGTGGGGGCCTGCTGGAGGGGCCGTCGCTAACTCACGCCAGCTTCGGAAATCCATCCCCACCACCAGCGGGCTGGTTTGGACCAGGCACTGAGTCCTGGCTTCTGCCCCATGGCACTCACAGCAGGGAGACAGACAGACAGACAGACAGACAGACAGTCATTAGTGCCCACGCCTGTTCTGGCCACGCCCCCGATGCTGGGCATTGAACGTGCGTTGCACGTGGCCTTCATGCCGGTCTGCTCTGTGGTTAATGACAGAAACACCTGAGTCCAGAGGATGTGTAAAAATGGGGCTTGTGGGAACCAGCAGTTGGCATAATGGCTACGTTGCTGGACTCTCATATAGTCGACCGCGGTTCGAGTCCCGGACCCGGTGGCTTAAGCTCACACTGGGCACGTGTTCGTGCATGCCTAGGATCCCGAGAGGAGAATGGAGGAGAAGGGATTGTGGTGTGGCGGGCCCCCCACCTTGGGGGGTGACTTCTCGCTTTCTGTCTCTCTGTCTCTGTCCTTCTGGTGAGTGCACGCGCCCTATAGCAAAAACCTCTCCAAAAACAACAATTAGACACACTCAGACACAGACACACACCATGGGCTGGGCAGTGGTGCAGCACTAGAACACAAAGCTCTGTGGCTGACCCCCATGAGAAGGTTCTGGGTTCACGTCTGGAGCCCTCCCTGAGTACACAGGCATGTGATCCGGGGCTAGCTGAGGCCGGAAACGGATCAAGACCCAGCTGGGGCGTGCGCATCCTCTCTTGGGAAATCAGTAAGTAAGCTTAAAAAAAGTAAGCAGTTAGCGTAATGGCTATGTTGCTGGACTCCCACGTAGTCGACCGTGGTTTGCATCCTGGACCTGGTGGCTTAGAACTCACGCCGGGTGCATGTGTGTGCGTGCCCAGGATCCCGAGAGGAGAATGGAGGAGAAGGGATTGCGGCGTGACCATCCCCTCTGGGGGGTGATTTCTTGCTTTCTGTCTCTATCTCTCTCTCTGTCTGTCTGGCGAGCGCACGCACCCTATAGCAAAAAAAACTCTCAAAAAAATAAAAAAAACACCAATGCACGCCCTGTCCTCTTTCCTCCGAGTCCCCAGTTGTGGACAGTCACTGCGTTTCCGTTCTCTCTCCATCCCCGCCCACCCCTCTTGTTATTCATGTTTTTACAAGAAACTGGACAGTGAGCAGCTGATGTCATACCGAGGGTGAATCTCCGATGAGCCACAACTTCCTTAGTTTTTTTTTTTTTTTTTTTTTTAAGTTTTTCGTTGTTGTTACTGTTTTTGCTATAGGGTGTGTGCACTTGCCAGAAAGACACAGAGAGAGGAAAAGTGAGAAATCACGCCCTGGGGGGATGGCCACACAGCAATCCCTTCTCCTCGATTTTCCTCTTAGCGTTTTGGACATGTATGTACACGTGTCCAGCGTGATTTTCAACCCACTGGGTACGGAACTCAGACTGCAAAAAGCAAGCTGCCAGGTCTGGGACTTGAACCTCAGTTGGTCATGTGGGATCTAGCGCCCTAACCACCATACCACCTGCTGGCTTGAGTCAGAACTCCTACGCCCCACGGCACCCAGAAACTCACCCTCGAGGCCACACAGTGCATTAGACACCACGTCAGAATGTCCCTGAGGACCCCCTATCCGGGATCCGCCATCACACTTCAGCATTGGCTGTGATGTCTCTCCAGCCTCTTCATCTATGACAGACCTCCTGTCTGTTTTGGTTTGACGTTTTAAATGGGGACCAGCAGGTGGCATGGTGGTTAAGGCACTGGACATCCCTACATGGCCAAACATGGTTCAAGTCCCAGTCCTGGTGGCTTGCTTTCTCACTTTCTCTGTCACTCTCTCTCTCTCTGGTCAAATTAAAATAAACAAATAAATTAAATCATTAAAAAATCAAATAAGAAAAGACAGAAAAGAAATTTTAAATGAATCGATTCATTTAATTGTCAGAGTGTACTGGCATGCTCCAGCGAGAAAGAGACAGAGAACAGAGAAAGAGAGGAGAGGAAGAAAGCATCCCCAGGTGGGCAGGGCCACACCACAAAACCTTCTCCTGCATTTTTTGACCCTGTTAGGATTTGGGGCACACACACACACACACACACACACACACACACACATATGCCTG